AATTCGCACACTCACTACACTTATAGAAAAAGAGAAAATTATTGTGAACGGAACCTTAAATATAGGTAGGAAATCATTTTCCCTACTGATGTGCTAGTCCAGGTTTCTGCAATGATATCAATACGAATTATTAGCAAAATGTATATCGTAACCTATCACCAATGAATAAAAAGCCTAAATATTCTAGCTTGCAATATTTGTATAAACCGACTACTTTATAGCAGGACACTACTGATACGTTTACCACTCAATGACAGAAATTCGGATACGAAACATTTGCCGAAACGGTACGATGAAAGTTTTTAACGAAGTTGAGACATCGGAAAATGTCATCGATGAATCTCTAATAATCATGTGCAGCACTTATCGAGCCGAAAAGCATGCGTAAAACTTCGTGCAACCCAAAAGGTTTAAAGTGTGTCAGCAACTCCGCCTGTAGCTCTTCTAGAGTTACTGCCGGTCCTAAGCCCACACAAAAGAGGATGGTTGGGTATGAGGTCGGTAATCTCATCCCGTACAAAACTAACTCACTAAAAACGCTAACCACGTTAAACAAATTAAACCATTTAAACTCTACCCTTCGAGTTCAAGAAAGAATTATGACCCCTCAAGATAAAAGTCAGGATTCTTCGGAAGTCACGAGGCTGATGTCACTTCTAACAACCACAGCAACACTCTTTATAGGTACATGGAGCGTCCGGACAATGTGGGAGACAGGAAAGACCAATCAAATAGCAATGGAAATGAGGAGATACAAATTGGCAGTACCTGGAATCAGTGAAACCCATTGAACACAAGCTGGACAGCAAAGGCTAGATACAGGAGAGATGCTACTGTACCCCGGTCACGAAGAACAAAATGCTCCACACACTCAGGTAATTGCTCTAATGCTCTCCAGAGAAGCACGAAATGATGGGAATCTCACGGATCCAGAATAATCAAAGCATCATTCAGAACAAAGAAGGAGGGGATCACAATGAATGTCATCCGGTGTTATGTAACCACCGACGATAGCAACAACGACGATAGAGATCAGTTGTACTCGAGACTGTAATAAATCAAAGTGAAGTGCCAAAGAAAGGACCTCACCGTCCTGATGGGAGATCTAAATATAAAGATATAATTGTACAACGTAGACTGGGAGGGAGAAATGAAAATGGTGAAAGAATCGCCAATCTATGTGCATTCAACAAATTGGTTATTTGTGGCACAGTATTTCCACACAAACGCATACACCAAGATACATGATTCACCTTCTAATCAAGAAGATTTGGGAGGAAGAACAAGTGACAACGGACTGGAAAGAAGGATATCTCATCAAGATACCAAAGAAAGGAGATCTGAGAAAATGTGAGAATTACAGAGGCATCAGTTTGTTGTCAGTACCGGGAAACGTTTCCGACAAAGTGTTGCTGAATCGAATGAAAGACGGGGTAGACATCCGACTTCTAGACCAACAGGCCGGATTCCGTAAGGGTAGGCTGTACACTAACCAAATTGCAACAGTATGGATCATCGCGGAACAACCAGTTGAGTGGAATTCGTCACTATATCACCTTCATTGACTATGAGAAGGCGTTTAAAAGTGCGGACCCTAGAACATTATGGAAACTTCTTCGACATTATGTTATGAGTTCCTGAGAATTTTGACTCCTATCCCATACACACAAACAGATACAGACGAAGGCAACTACAGTATCAGCAGTCTCTGCATCAACAGGCCTCAACATACACAAAGGAAAAAGCAGGATTCTCAAATACAACACGGAGAACACCAAGCCAACCACACTTGATGACGAAACTCTGGAAGAGGTGGAAACATTCACTTACCTAGGAAGCATCATTGATGAAAAAGGAGGATCCGATGCTGACGTAAATGCGAGGATTGGCAAGGCGAGGGCCGCATTCCTACAATTTAAGAAGATATGCATCTCAAAGCAACTGTCAATCAATATTGAAGTCACAATCTTCAATACGAACGTCATGACAGTCCTACTCTATGGAGCTGAAATGTGGAGAACTACTACAACCATCGTCAAGACGATACAAGTATTTATAAGCAGTTGTCTGTGCAAAATATTCAACATTCACTTGCCGGATACCATCAGCAACAGCAATAGACTATTGTGGGAGAGAGAAATCAGCTTTCAGTTGAGGAGGAAATTAGGAAGAGACGTTGGAAGTGGATAGGACATACATTAAAGTAATCATCAAACTGCATCACGAGGCAATCCGTAACTTTGTATCCTGATGGGAGGCGGAAAATAGGAGGGTCAAATAACACATTGCGCCTGGGAATTGAAGCACATATGAAAAGGATGAATACTAACTGGAAAGGGCTGAAAATGATTGTTTAGGACAGGGTTGAATGGAGAGTTCTGGTGGGTGGCCTATGCTTCTCCACGATGGGTAACAAGCGTAAATAAGTAAGTAACTATTTCATCGGCAGCAATAAGAATTTGGTTAAACGCTTTAATCAAATCGTGAATTTGCGCCACAGGGTAACAATTGTGGGTGGTTTTCCTATTACGTTGACGATAGTCACAGCTCAACGCCAATCACTGCTCTCATTTTTAGGTAACATACGCAAGGGAAATGCACATATGTCGCTTGATTTCCGAATAACTCCCAAGTCTATCGTATGGCTGAGTTTGATCTTGGCCAAGATTAGCTTTCCAGTAGCTAGTCGACGCTCGTTCGAGAATACAGGTGGTCCTGCAGTCGTGTTATTGTGTGTAACATTGCAGGTTACGCACGTCAATTTCGGTCGCTTTTCGTATAGCTCGGGGTACTTGTCGAGTTCTCGTTGATAGTTTGGATGGACTATGAGCTTAACAATGGCTAGAGATAATCTTTAACAAGAAAATGGATTTATACAAACAGATGATTTAGTCTTTCCATCAACTAACCTCTGTTTGTTCGTGTCGATGAGTAAGTTGTGGTGTTATAGCAAGTCTATACCAATGATTGACATAGAAACGTCTGCAACATGAGAATCCAGTGAATAAATTTAAGCAAACTTATGTTAAGATAGTTATACCGCTCACCGTATGTAGCAGTCGGTTCTCCATCTGCTGTCTGTAAGTTAAAGACTGGTTCGTGCAGACGAGCTTCAGAATTCGGAGGAAGATCATTAATTTCCGCTCCAGTGTTGACCGGGTGGCGAGCGTTCATTATTTAATCAGTTATGTATAACATAAGGCCATGCTCATCAGCTACGGCTGCCATTACCGCGCGCCGGCCGGGAAGTTTCCTGAAAATCTTATCGTGTCAGACGGTTCGGATATTGAGAAACTAGAGGGTTTTCTGCATTTTTTAGAAGAATTACCGTGGATATTGTGGTACGACCACCAATCACGGTTATCTGATTTTCACGATCTTGACACTGTCTTGAAAGTATAATAGAAGTCCGCTTCATGGTTTGTGTCGTTTGATGCCTTTCGTTGAAAGAATAAACCTCGTGGCTTGGAGTTCCGATAATCTCAAGAATCCGATCGGCAGATGCAGCCAGTTCATCTACGGCGTTGATTTGAAACGATACCAGGACCGCCTGCACCTGCTGGAAAATCGTAGACTAGGACAACTCTCTAGAGAGGCTGTTGACCTCTAGCATACGTAAGAACATTTCTATTAACGAGCTGTGTTGTAACTCGATGTTAAGGAAAAGCTGATTAACCTTTGTCGGTCGGTCAGGTCTGCACGTTTAAGGACGACCTTTTTCAAAGTGTCGTAAGGTTCTGAAAATTAACTGGTGAACATACTAAGCTTGACGCACCCGTTGAAATCACGCCTAAGTACCTTCACTACTGCGAGGAATTGTGCAGGTGGGTTCGTATAGACGTGCTCGTGGAAGTCAGCTTCTGCGTAGCAGAGCTATGTTTCAATATTGTTGGGCAAGAATGGCATGAGTTGAATGGTAGGAGGCGAAAGAGTCTTAAGACTAATAGCTTAGGTATCTGTTCCTTTATGATGAAGACAAGACCTACCAATATGCGAGAAAAAACATCACCCCGGAAATATGAAAACAATATTTACTGATGTAAAAATAAGAACTGGCAAAATAGCATAGTGTTCCAACAATGAACAGACCCACAGTTTGTTGTTTGGTGTGCCAGATTTATTAGGGCTCACCACTAAAGATACCTCAGGGATTCAGAATTTGACAACGCTTTTATACGTAAAATCCTTATAATCGAAGCATATTAACCCAGTCAATCAGAAGCCAAAATGAAGGACTTTGAAGATGTACTTGAAAAGCTTTCGATATATCTAGAGGCGTTTGGTCCAAGCTGGTTGACAGTTCGAAAGGAATGCCTAGCACGAAATACCCACTTGTGATCCGGTTTGGATGCGTGGCCGAGTGCCTTCAGCTGAAGGGGGTGTCAGTAAAATTAATGAACTCAGCATCAATGTCGAAGACATACAGAACTATTTATTTTGAGAACTTGTTTATCGTTACAAACGTATTAACTTCTACATCTTCGAATACCATACAAGTTTATTTTAGATATTGCAAATTCTTGATACTAGGAAGAAACGGCCGCTCAGTGCTTTCGAGTTTTTAACGGTGGTCTAACGCTATTAGGTTCATAATCTCAATTAAAACTCAACAATCTCCGCAACGCTACACTAATAATCTTGAAAAATTTATTGAATATTATTACGATTAATTATTTCTCACAATATCTCTATCATGTTAGATAAACTTCATGTGGTTGCATTTAAGTAAACAGTATTTTGTGACTTGGAAGTGTATTACACCCGTAAAAGAACTTGACAATATGGAAAGTAGATAATATGCTAGAACAAATTTTAACACAATGAATCTAAATGGCTGTGTATAAATACGAAAACAGTAGAATAGATAGTAATGAAAATAAGTGACGTATTGAGTAAAAATTTATAACAACCGTTACGTAAGTAATACTTGAAAGTTTTTCCTTAGATAACCACCACTAATGGAGTTCACTAGATCAATAAACGTCCTTCTGCACGGTTGGAACAGACGATGCGAAGAGAGATATGAATCAGATAGTGTCACTGTGTAAATTTTGAACAGTTATGTTCCACCCTCAGTGGTGTGCTTTATAAAGTTTTTCTGATAGATTTCTAATTAAGGTTACTTCACAGCGCAGTGTTTCCTTCAATATTCACATACTTATCAGATTCAAGCCTCGAATAGATCCTTATTAGCTGATAACGATACCTTTTTGAGTTGAAATACAACATGAGCAAAACGAATATAGTTTATGACTGGACGAGGCTTCCTTTTTGTGTCAAGTTCATCCACAAGTTGTAAAAACCTAGTCCCAAAATTTTGTAACCAAATAGTCAGAAAACACAAACTGTCACTTAAAATCGAGTCCCACTTTTCTATTTACAAGACATGAGCGTAAGGAAATTAATTATTTCATACTAGTCCATCATGAACATATTGTTTATTCAATGATATATTTAGTGTAGGATGTGGGTACAATAAGTTATGCGTTACTTCGATGGGTGTACTGGGATTACAACTGGCAACAACGCTAGTGGCTGCAAGTGTTCTATCAAAAGTTATTTCTTTTTTCTCATTTACACATTTCCTAATTGCGGGTCTCACGCGGTACGCCGTACCAACAGATCAACAACTTCTAGAAGCTAGTGGGAACTGTAAAACAAAGATCAAAGGTATGTTTCTATAGCTTAAGGTTTTTATTTTGTGTCGCTTGTCCTGAATCAAATGAAAAATACATCTCTACGATATCGTTTCAGCAGTCTATATGTTGTTTCCCAGACAAATGTCCCGGATAATTAAATCTGAGTTACATTTTTCTGTTATCATGTTTACTGAACGATATGAAATATGGACCTGATAGGATAAACAACTCGTTAATTCCTCATTCGCTGTGCAAATATGGTCATTAGAAGACCTAGTTCAGTAACATACTATCCTAGGATGAGAATGATAATGTAATAGTGTGTACGTACCCTGTTCATCGTTTTCCAATTATCTTTCACAAACAGCCTATCAAAACTTCCTAGGTTCTTTTCGTCAAGGACTGATGGATTTCCATCTAATTACTGTGGCTCAAAGTTTGTTCTTGAAACGGTGTCTTTGAGAATTGAAATGTTAGTTACAATGAAACTAAGCAAACTCGGTAAAATCCGCTTCATAAACTCATTTCTCTTTTAGCTTGAAATCGCTTCTAAGTTCTAACAGAAGATTCTGCATTTTATCAGCGTCTCCACCAAATAAGACTGTCATCTGCGTACTCTAAGTCGATACGTGGACCTCCTCGTAGGAGATCAATTACTGAAAATTCATTCGATCAGAGCGTTATTTCCAGCAGTAGGTCTATGATGAAGTTGAACAAAAATGGAGATAGTGGACAGCAATCCCGGACACCACTTAGGGTTGTAAGATTAGATGACAGTTCGCCATAAGCTCTCACTCGACTGGCAGTGTTCGGGTGAAGAGCTTTCACAAGGCTTATGTATTTCTGAGGTACACCTTGCAATGACAGACACTGCCACAGAGCCTCTCGATCTACAGAGACGAATGCTGCTTTTAAGTCAAGAAAAACTGTCATTGTCGGACACCGATAAGCATGTCTGTGTTCTAAGACCCGACGAATAGTGAATATGTGGTCGATACAGCCACCACCAGGTCTGAAGCCAGACTGATTTTCTCGTTCTTTTGGTTCACGAGTCTTAGTTAGGCACCCGATAATTATTGAGGCTAGTATTTTAAATGCTATATTAGTCAAACTAATCCCTCTATGGTTATCACAGGATGGTTTTGACCCCTTCTTATATATTGGGACAATCAGTGATTGTGACCAGTCCGATAGGATTACAACGAACTCCCAGATTTTAGCTAAAATATTAGTCAACCTAGTTGCTGAAATTGAACCGATACACTTAAAGACCTTTGGAGCCAATCCATCAGGACCAACCGCTCTTCCTCGTTTCAGGTTAGCTATTGCTTTTGAACTTCAACTGGTGTCGGGGCACGTCAATGTTCCATTCAGACTGTCTAGGAATGATGGATAGTTGTAGAGTAGCTGAAGGCCAGCTAAACTGTTCTGCAAAGTGTTCGCCCATCGTTCTAAACATCTGGGCTGAGAGCAGATGAGAGTCTCATCGTTTTCCGAGATTGTCTCGCTTACAATTGACTTCTTGATTCCGGTTTCTTTTATTAGTCTGTAAAGCTGTTTAATGTTACCTACAGCCGCTGTCTTTTCTATCTCTTTTACTTTCGTTGCCCACTACTGCTCACGATTTCTCCGTAGACTTTCGGTTAACTCAGATCTGGTTTTCTTTCGCTCTTCATCGTGTTCAGAGTCTAATGAGATGGGTTTCCGAGAATCCATCAGTGCAATGGACTTAGAAGAAATCCATTGGTTTTTTGTAACATTTTGGTTTAAGTTAACAATAGATGTCACTGCTGCTTCCACATCTGTTTGTACATCATTCCAAGCAGCATCTGGATCAGCCTCGTTTTCAGAGCTACTTAAGTGTGACCTCGATTGTTCCTGGAATCTACTTTTGGCTTTTTCATCGCTGAGCTTAACTCTGGTGGGTCTTCTTTGTGTGGTTTTATTGCGTCCAGTGGGGCGCAAACAAATGCGTGCTTATACCAACATTTATATGTTCAAATAAATGATAGATAATTTGTTACATCACAAAAAATGTCACTGATAGCACGTTCTATAACATATCTTGAAACATAACTTTTTTTCAGGGAAAAGAAGGAGAAATGATCTACTTTCTGGATCTTCCAATGGAACAACTTGTCACTCTGATACTTTCTATTTTCCCCGCTCTACAACCATTCATTTGAAGCAATCACATGTATCTACCTCTGATATCGCCATTTTACCACTATATTCCAGTCACCAATGGCTAGTCGACTTCACCGTTTGTGCTTCTTGTGTATATTTAATTAACGAAGTAGCCTATAATTGTATCATACCATGGTATGAGGGTTTTGACCAAAATCAAACAACACTATCACATGCTAGCTCAAAACAAGATTCTCCTTATCCCATATCTCTCAATGTGCGTATCAATTTGAGTCTAGTTTGGATGACTTTAAGCCTTTGGTTCACCATTCGCACTCTCGTTTCCTTAACAGCAATATACTTTCAACCTAAAAATGATGCCACAAAAATCGAATCTCAATCTCCTAAATTCACTATAAGTACAGCACTTACAAACACACCTTCAGGTGAATGTATACTCATCCTTGCAGCTGGCTTTTTCTTCCTTGTTGCTGCAACCTTATTTCTTTCTCTTGATGGGACTTTGGTTGACTTTGGTCTTCAAGCTGCTTACGGGAATTTAACTTTCGGAGAATTCTCATCTTCTAGAACTCCAATTATTAGCTGGGGTGCATTTCACTTCATTCTAGCTGTTATAGCCTGTATAATTGGTTCACTGTTTGTTTATCCAGGAATAAAATTTGGAAAGATATACTTGGACACAGTTAAGTAAGTGTACATTTTGTAGTGAGTAACAATGAATGTTTAGTTGAATTTATTGTGCTTGTATTTTAATTCCTTTGTAGACTATCCAAGCAGCGTTTATTAAATCATTTATTCCCTTTAGAAATTAGGCTCTATAAAACTACTCTAGTTACACAGTGGAAAATAATAGTTACTTCATCTTGTTGTACTAAACTGTAAAATGTGTTGATGTTGAAAATATATAACATCCATCACATTCTGAAATAAAGTTTTGTAATCAATCCGTGGTTGTACCGATTCGATTCTTCGAGAAATACTTTTTGACTAAGTGATTAAGGATAAATATATATTGTAGTGAACGAAGAAGTCAGGTGGGGATAATCAATTTATTGTTTAGCACAAAATTACAATTCTTTCGTAAAATGTGGAAATCATACACTAAATAACTCATTTGCAACTCTTCCATCATTATCTTTTACATTCTTCATGATTCTTCTAATTCTCGATTCTTTTATGTTCCTCTTTTAGTTTTCTTCAGTCTAATCTTCTCAACCTTCTTTTAACAGGCGTTCCACATCCGATTGATGTTACACACTACTTATGTCTACCGATATAGGTATCATATACCACGATAAGTGAAATTAGGTTTTATCGTCTTACTATGCGATGGCAGATAGGTTATGGCATATCACTAAAACATTATAACGTTTTTGATTGTATCATATACCATTGTTGTTGACCGATGAAATTGTCGGTTTTTATCTGTTTCAAAGCTGAACTTATTCATGCGTTTGAATATCTAATTGAACGCTCGAACAATGTATACAATGTTCGTCATCCCGACTGAATCTGTGCACACTTTCTGCTTGTTTTGCGCAGTACTCCATGTGAATCTACTTGTTTTATCAATCTTTTTTAGCTGCTTCAAATACAACAATCCTCAAACAATATCTGATAACTGGTCGATCAGTAGGGTTATGGAAATTAATTATCATGAATTAGCTTCAAAAACAATGATTGGAGTCAGATCAGTTATCAGAGAAGCCACTAAAAGGTTACTCATGTCCCACTAAACCAGTCACTCATCAACTTTCTTACGTGAACATGAAATTAATACCAAATAAAAACTAGCCCTAAAACTTTTAGTGAAAATATTTGATAGAAATACCACAAAAATAAGAACCTTCTTTATCTTGAAAATTAAATATTTTAAGTGAGTAATTTCATAATATCTAATAGAAAGTTTTATAATAAATAATAAACTGTAATGTAGTCGATAACACTTTAATGTCCTTTAATTCTTAAATCATTTTTCCATATTTAGACAATGTCCAATGTCAGTAATCAAACGTATCATACTACATTTGAATTTCATATGTCCAATAATTCCTATCTTACTTTGGCTTATTCCAATCACTGATCATATTTCTAATTCGTTGATTACGCTTACGCATAGTAATTCATTGATTGAGAAACCTTTTCTTATCACAATTATCAACTTTGTATCTAATCTATTCATGAAACATTTGGATAGTATTCGACTAATTGTATCTTTGGCAGTTGTACTCTTTCGTCTTTCCACTGTTCGTTGGACATTACAAGTATGTGCCTAGCTTTTTTATGTTGATCGTTTATTTATTTATTTAAACACATAAATATTGGTACAAGGAAGCACCAGATAAATATGCGCCTCACAAATCTCATTCGATTTGTGTGAGGGCTGTGATACTGCCCAGGTGCCCAAACTGAAGCAGGTGGTTTTCTTAGGGGGCCACACCCGGAGCCTTTGACCTGAAGGTCTAGTCCACAAGGCAGTGGAGCATCTTAAGGAGATGCAGTCCCATGGTAGCCGGTGACCAACGATTGGTTCATACGCCACTGTTTCCTTCAGGATACTGGAGCCCATGTGCACCATTTGTTTGGAATCAGGGTTTTCCAACTCCCCTAGGTGAACGTTCCGTGTCCACCAACCCTGTTAAAGCGCTGGACATTCTCTTTTCGTCCTCTCAATTTCGTAAACAACATCCGTGACGCGAGAAGGCAGTAAGTAGGACTTCCCTGACAGAGGCTATATATTCGCGTGGCCATGTGAGAGCATTTCGAGAGGGATAGCGGACTCTCCCCACTCGGCCGTACCAGGGCATTTAGGGACATGTTCATTGTTTAGTTCATATGTACTATTGTTGGTATAACGGATTTAAAGGATAACGTAAGAGTGGCCTTATCTTTTTTCTGAATAATTTTTTAGGTATTCCTGGGATGCTTCTATAAAACTTTCCTTGCTAGAGTTTTACTTAGTAATGAAACTAGATATAAAATGAATAAGTTGAATAGTTTTTCAGATTACTTTTGTTCTGTTTCTATGCCGCGGACACAGTGTTCATATTCTGACTTAATAAGTAATCTTGTCGTACAAATCACGTGGCTTACTTATATATCTTATGGGGTCCACTCCAATAAAGCCTTAACAGGCGACTAACGTTACCACTACAATTTCCGCTAATATTTAAAAATGTTTGATCAACAAGAATCCTTAAACTCAATAGTGTACACTTCCAATTATTCCCCATCGCTTGTTGTTTTAGGTTTGTGATATTTGTTAAAGATCACCGTGATCTGCAAAGCAATGGATACAACGGTCATTTGGTACCCCATCAGTGACACGCAAGTAATAAAAGGAAAACCAAATAAATAGAAACGTTGATGTTAGTGGTAGTAGAAATAGCACGATAAGTCAAAGAAAGGAAAACAACAAAAAATAACATTATTGGCAATAAAATAACGAATTTATAAGTTTTGGACCCTGTAAATTATTTTGACCCATACTCTCTAAAGCCTGTAACAATAAACTTCAAACCCCCTCATGTCGACAGACATGAGTAGCATGCACCACAAGTAGAAGATACTATAGCGACAAATTACGATTCAAATAAAAGCCTAGAACTAGGGTAATAAAACCAAAATAATTAATAAAAATGCAATTAATATATGCAAATAAATTCGTAGAAAATTAGCTTCGAAAGCTTTTACCTCATAGTTAAATAGCCTCTTACAACATTATTGATTCTAGGTGTTTTGCATTTTCTTCTCTACCATAAGTAGTGTTTTAGAATAACTAAAACTTTTAATCCATAGAATTCAATACCATTTGATTGCAATATAACTTGATCAACTTTCTTTTTGTTATTGTTAAATAATTGAGTAATTCAAATGTACTAATAACAATACTTCTTTCAAATTCAATTTTGTTTTTTTTTTAAAAAAATACAATAGGCTTACTTAAATTCTGCCCAGGATAAACTGGATAGGTTTACTCATGAAGCAGGACAAACTTCAAATAAAGAAGTACAACGATTAGTTGCAAGTATATTTTATTGTTTAAACCTAGTCGCTTTACAGTATATTTCACCATGTTTTCTTTTCTTATGTCTTTTATGCTTATATAAAAATCTATCAGGTCTATCATGGTTACCTTATGATTATCATCACCAACAATATATATATTCTTCTGATACATTGAATGTATTACCATCTTTTGTATCGAATATTCAAAATAATTTGACTAATTTTTTCCTAACTGATTTCATGAATCAAAATAATTTCACTTCATGGTCAACTGTATTTATGCAAGCTAGATATATCTTTAGTCAAATAATGGATCATTTCTTATTTCATGGAATGATTATTGCACGTGGCATATTTGGATTTTTAGTTTGGTGGACGTTAACTAGTTGGCAATTAATGTGTTTTTTAGGTTTAGCTTATCATCGATTTGCAAATGAATAAAAACTACAGTGAAATTAGACTTATTCTCTGTCAAATTAAATGAAATATCTTTTATTTTCCTTTTGTAATTTAGGTCAATTAACTAACCTTACTTTTTATACTGTAATTTAATTTTAGTATTATTGTTGTTACGTTGATGATAGTGATGATGGTATTTGTTCCTTTTTAGCATTTGTTTCCCATAAAACCAACAAGCATACCCCCCCTCTTTTTCCCTCTACGTATATATATATATATATATATATATATATATATATATATATATATATATATATATATAGTTTCTTTTCAATAAACGTTCTCCTATTTTCATGCTTTGCTCTTCTTCATTTTCCTTCGTAGATTAAAATATGTAGAATATTATTATTGTATACACATGTTTAACCGTTTGACTTTTATTTTACTACGCTTTTAATACTCCAATTACAAACTGATTCAAAGGATTTGAAATCAATCCAAACGAGTACTAATGATGAATTTCGACTGAAAAAAGAAAACAAATCTCTTCAATTTTGTCTGGTCATAGCAGTGTCGATATTTAGTTCCAATTATACAGCATAGAACCTGGTACATATATACATCTGTTCAATTGGTTACATTATATTAAAACAGCATAATGATATTGTCAAGACAAACGTCGAAGTAGTAATAGTCCTGTTATTAGTAGAAGAAAATATTAGACACAGACAACATGATTCTATAAGAAAAGATAACTTCGTGTCATGAAATGTAAAAGTATTTTAAGGTGGAGAGTGAATACATGTACGCTATTATGAGCCATATCACTCAACATCTACAAATCAGTCCTGGAATAGGATTATGCAGCTAGAGGGAGAGAAACATCCTAAGTATGGGCTGCATTGGTACTCAAATCGTTCAGCAGACTGCATTATATGTTGGAATCTTAAATAATTTTTTAAATAAACTATTAAATAAATGTTTTACACGAAGATGAAAAAGAGTAATAGTAGACAACCCTGACAAATTCAATATTGGATTAGAAATTCTGATGAATGTTCAATCTACGCCGTAACATGACTATGAGTATTTGAGTCAGGATCTTTTAGAGTGTTAAGCTACTTTTCTGTCACTCCCTTCAATAAAATGCATTGCCATAAGATCTGCAAATAGATAGAATCGTATACCTTATGTATACAATCGTATGCATAATTATAGTGTTTATGTATATAGTGTCACTTCCAGTATATATTATAGGTGACAACTATAAATTAAAATCCAGTAGACCATAATATCCAGAAAGTAGTCAAATTAATCACTTATTGTACTTATAATCCGGTTACTGTTAGTGTATACCTCCGGAACTTGGTTATATTTAACGAAAACGTTTTACATGATTGTACTAAGTACTTGTGTTACTGAAAACATGTATTGAGAAGGCATTGGATAAACTCTGAATTAAAGACCTTACTTTAATCGTCTCTATATGGTTCATATTACTATCTGACAAATGGTCATCGAATTAGTTCAATGCAAAGAAACTTCGATATCAGCTATATATATATATATATTCACATAAGTTATTCAGTTAACCTCATGTTTAGTATAAAACAACATCCTACACTGGCTTGTAGGAGACACTTAAAGTTGAAAACCAAACTGACAACATCTACTAGTGTAAATTATACTTTGAAATTTAAGTGGATGCATGGATTCAATCTCAGTTATTCAAGGTAAACCTATCACTCGTCAACAGTTATAGCTATACACTGATAACTATATGAATATATTTGGGACCTAATTTGTTTCACTGTGTTTTCTTGATTAAATCTCCATAATGTATTACAACAGTTCTCAAGTTTTATCACCTTCCAAGCAGACTTATATTCAGATTGATGAAACCACAATTTTGGCATATTTGCATATCAAAAAACCGCAATTCTTACTTAACTTAATACTAGGATTGTCTAATAAATTATGTTTTTGTAACCCAAGTTTCATCCTTCTCACGCATACGTCATGAACCATCAGTATTTTGTAGACCCAAATTTGACTACTCATAAGTAGCTAGTAATTAATCCTCCAAACTTTGAGTTTTAGCTAGCCCTTTGGCTTATGTATACCCTGAATGGATGGTTCGACATTATCTGTAATTACAAGTTTGATTATATTCCTAGACCGTAGCCAACTTAATTGGATATAAACATGTGAAATTCCTTTGTACTCTGATGAAACTTAAATAATTTTTGAAGAAAAGGATTGAGCACTTAAACGAACCATAGATTTTTGACATATTAGTTCCAAACTATGGGACTGTTTATAACAATTTGTCATCTTTCTCAATTAGCCTGCATTACTCGTTAATAATTATTCTCTTAATTGAATATTTATCACTTTGAATTATACATTTTTTTAGTTTTAACCATTTGTACAAATTTATCTAGTTGTTAATAGTTGCATTACTATTCACTCGACAATCAACAAAATTATGTTATTAATATTTCATCCAACTTATCTTAGTGTTTTTCAAGTCAATAAACTAGCTGGTATTCAAAAAGAATATATTCTAATTTGTTTATTCAAAACAGTGAATGGAACCCAAGTTATATGCTTCCATGAAATCTATATCCTTTCAAACTTCAATGGTTACACAAAGATGTGAAAGTGGTATCTCACTAACAAAGAAATTATGTCGAAAAAGTCCTATGCATTGTATTTATTTTGATGAGATGCATTTCACGAAATTAGAAGTATTAAAGTGATTATTTTTAATGAGATAGTGCCATAGATACGGTAGTACAACTAAATGAATAGGGAAAACAACTTTAAACCAAATGATTTAAAAAAGCTTTAGAGTCTCGAAAGAACAGAAATTATGTATTGGATGTACTAATGACTGTTTTAAAGACTACACTAATTTGATAAAGTATTGATTATATCTGAGACAGCTGAAATAATGATTTGCTCCCAAGACCGATTCCCAACTCTTTAAGCCAATAAATACAAACACAAGCTTACAAACCGGAGATATGAATATACATTACTAACTTACGCACAAAGTATTCAACCAAATCTGTATGACTACTCATTACTTGTTAGTTAACAAATACAACAGGGCAAAAAAATACGTACTAAAGTAACCCAAGACACCACTTATACCATAAGAGTCGCTGATATACATAAGTCACATTCTTAGTATTGCCAGTTATGCTCATAGAATAGTTTGGATTTCGGCACTCGAAAGCTTTTTCACATATCTTATTACCAATATATCATTTGGCAAACATAACAGAATGTTAAAATCTGTAAACATGTGTTATAGACAGTTGACTTCAAATGTAAACATTAAAATAGTTGTCTTCTCATATAAACCTTGAGTAGCACAACAGCAATTTTTTGACATTATGCTCCAATCCAAAAAGTATATGGAAATTAAATTAGAAAAATAAATACAAACCATTATACATATGCTCCATTTCACTGCTTCATTTGTGTATGGGCAGTGTGATTTCCAAGGACTCTGGAATTCATTTGTGTCTATGAGATGAAGTTCACATAATGGTCATTTGCGTACTCGACATATTAGATCAAATTTATTAGTATCCTAAAGATAATAAGAATTGAACGATGATAATATGTTTTACCATAATCTATACATAAATGAATACAAGAGTATGCAACAGTGGTAAGATTGTTTCGTGTAACTTTTGCTGCAGTTATTTAACATTTGTCTTACAAAGCTCAATTGATGATGATTCGTTCATACCACATTTTTATCATTTCTATATATGCTCTCCGTCTGTATTCTCATGATAACTCTATGCCTGTTGAATTCGTTTTTATTGAAGTCCATACAACTGATAATCCTATACTGCACATTCATCTTAACATCATATGATCATACTCGATTGAATCAGAAAACGCAACACCCTCTGAGCTAGGAAGTATTTACCATCATCTCAATAAAATCCTAAACTAAATGTGGTTTGTTAACACACCAGGTAAATCAAACAACACTAAAATAATGAGAAGAAACAAATGGCTGATATTATTTTGGAGCCAGTGTGACTAGGTCTTAATTACAGGAAAGCGGTTGCAGTGATCTAGTGCAAGTATTGATCATTTCTCCTAGATTTTCCGTTTAGTACCAATACCCTTCAGTTAACGGATGACACGATAATAGTGAGATAACAGGTAGAAACAAAAATTAACGACTATTGGTTCAGAATCCACTTCATTTATGCTCATCAGATTGTCAGGGTAGAACACAACATAACAGGAAGATAACTCCTTAAAAAACGGTTCAATTTTATAACTCCACTTGTAATATTAGATTAAAATCTTGACCGCAGTTCAACCTAATTAAAATCATTACAATATGGACATAACTACCCCACAGGTGGAAGAGAGCTATATGATAGTTTCGTAATTAACTAACAATAACTTGAGAAAGGTAAAACATACGATATGAAACGAAAGTTTACTAGTAAGAGGAAACTTTAAATATTCAATAATAATACAGCAAAAAAATATATAAAATAACTTCAAATAGAAAGTTACAAAATTTCAGCTTTGCTTGATATTTACCCCGTAATAGCACACTTGTGGTAACCTAAACTGATAAACCAACCTTGAAATTCATTATGACTAAAGAGATTTAGTCAACCGAATACTGGAAATCAGTACAAAACTAAACTAATACACAGCATTCATCTTATCTGAAAATACCTGTTACAATGCATTGATTCCAAAAAATTTATTTCAAACGCAACTGCTGCACGAAAATTATAAACAATCAATGCGAATTTATGGAAATATAACTTCCACATCCTGATTTCAACATACGAGTAAAATGAATACAATAACAAAAACCCGTATCACACGTTTTTCGTATTATCGTGTCACTGGGATGTAGCAATTGAAATAATAAGTATAGTAAATATTTGTATTTTCATGAATAATTAATACAGTGTAGGGCCAGTGAAATGTCACTGAACCCTAGCCAAATCATCCGGCAGTTGGGTCACTTAATATCGAACAGATCATCGATCCCTGTCAAGGTTAAGGACAATCAACGCGCATCAGTTAATCATGTGCCATGGACCGGCCCATGCGGCAGTGGTTTTACTTTCGCCTGTATCTACTTTAACTAATATATTCCTGTAATAACGTCCTTTGTGTTGTACAGTCTTCAGAGCATCCATGGTCCCTTGATGCGTCGATGAGGCAATCCACGTAAGGTGCTGATCGCGAGGTGTGACTTCGAAGTTAGCTTGTTCGTTACACCGTTCCCGTCTAACTCGAGTAGGCCTCAAATTATTCGACATAGATTATCAACATTGATGGTCTACAACAGTTTGCAGTAGTGAATTCTGAATATCCTTCTTTATTCTTAATTAGTTCTGAACAATATCACAGTTAATATCTTCATAT